GAGATACAGGCTTCCAGTTATGGAATGAATAAGTCAGTCACATGAATAAAGGGCACAGTATAGGGAATATGGTCAATAATAGTGTATAGTGTTGTATGGTGACAGGTGGTAGCTACAGTTGGGGTGAGCAAAGCATATAGAGAAGGTGAATCACTATACTGTACCCTAAAAATAATGTAGCATTGTGTTCAACTCAAATTAAAAAATTATTATAAAAGTTACTATTCTAGAACGCTTTTATAAATAGACTTGTATTGGATATAACTTTAAAAACTTATTTATTATGTCTTATTTATTTATATTTATTATTTTGAATTAATGGGCATATATTAATTTTTGTGTGAAATATTACACAAGATTCTCACTTAGATAGTATTTACACAATGCCGAGTACAAGCTTGAAAGGTAATAGTCAACCTCTTCAGATATTCTCAAATATCCAGATGTTTGATATTGCGAGGGAACATATCTAGGTAATTTGTGGGTTTACTTTTAATTGGAAATTTTTGGTATTGTGCCTGAGAAAATATTTTTTAAACAGTGATAGGAAAACTGGTATCTTGCCATGTGTTATGGCTGAACTGTGTACCCCCAAATTTCATATGTTAAATCCCTAGCCCCTAGTACCTGTATTATTGTGACTGTATTTGAAGACAGGACTTTAATAACAGAAGTGATTACGTTGAAATGAGACCATGAGGGTAGGGCCTAATCCAACCCGACTGGGGCTAGTATAAGAGGAGGAGATTTGGATTCAGGTGTGTGGGAGCACAGAGGAAAGACCATGTGAAGACACAGTGAGAAGGTGCTATCTGCCTGCAAGCCAGAGAGGCCTCAGAGGAAACAACCCTGCTGACATCTTGATCTTGCATTTCTAGCCTCCAGAACTGTGAGAAAATAAATTTCTGTTGTTTAAGCCACCCAGTCCGTGGTATTTTGTTGTGGTGGCCCTAGCAGATGAATGTACCATGATATAATGAAAAGTGAGTGTGTAGAAAGTTCAAGAGTTTATCAGTTTGCCTGCCAATCTGCTTATTTCCCTGCCAATGTCAACTTGCTATTTAGAAACTAATTTCTATGAGTGAATGAAAAGAGACTTAACATTATTTGAATTAAATAATTAACAAGATAAAAAAATCATTAACAGGATACAGAACTTTTGTTAGAAGTAAGTATAATCTTCCCTCCCATTATGGGTTTAAAACACATCTCTGGCAACTTTGTGCATTCCCACTAAATAATATTTTGAGAATAATCTGTGATAATCCTGGAGGGATTACACAAAACTAAGTATTGTTCTGACTTTTAAGATGTATTTTGGAAATGTCTAAGAACAGCCATTGTTTATTACTATAAAAAGTGATGTCATTCATTGAAAAAAAGTCTCCAAGTGCATTTGGAGAATGTAATCCAGACAAGTTAAGACAGTGGCTTTAGTCATCTCAGAGAATCTTTACTCTCAAAAATAACTACAAATTAGAAAATGGCAGATGCTCAATAAATATTAATAACCCAAACGAGAACTCCTATTTTGCCCTTTGTGGGTGCAGTAGCATTGCTTTCCATGTTGTCATCCTTGCAGTGGAATACATATTTTCTGTTATACATCTAAATTTTAATTTGGCTCTTAGGAAAAACTATTATTATTGTAAGAGCAACTGGAGGACAAAAGGTATATTCAACTACTCATAGTAAATAATCAAACAATTGAGAAATAACAAGGAAAATGCCAAAACAAAGTTGCTGTTTTAGAGATGAATAATAGATGGTTCACAATTGCAATCAGCAACATACATATAAAACAGCACTTTAGGTGAGCTGTAAGAAATGGGTATGTTCTGGCCAAAGACATTCCAGTCAACTGCTATTCAGCTTATTTATTTAGCTGAATCAAGAAAAGGACACTTTTGCATAAGATTTAGGGATTTATACCAACAGACTCCTTTTCAGAACTGCTGATTATATGGGTTGGTCTTTTAATCATGTATTTTAAGAAAGTAAGTATTACTGTAAGTCAAATATTTCCAATTAAGTTATTAGCTCTTGGGTGTAGCTATTATGTTTTTAGAGAATCCGTGAATTTTAAGGGGAACTTGGAAATGAGTTTTTAAAAACCCAATAAGCAGAATCTGGATATGGGAGAGAAAAACATCCCCCTTGAGTGTCACAAAGTAGCAAGCAGAAAGCTTCAGAAATTCACAAAAAGGAGATACATGTAAATAATAAAGTCCTGTTAAAAATAAGAACCAAGAAAGGATTCTGAAAAGCAAGGGAATTCTGCAAAGGACTTCACAAAAATCAGGCAAGTTTCAAGAGGATGGTACAAAAGTAAGTCTTAAGCTGCCACTAAAGTGCTTAGCTCGCGGAATAAACCTATTTGATTTTCTTTCATTCAGCTCACAATTCTTTTTATAGGGTGTGAGGCAAAAGCAGAAAGCTATGGAAGGTCTTGGGAAATGAACAAATTGGGTTAAGTATGACTTTTAGGAAACCTAATCTGTTCCCATTAGATAAGATTTTATGGTACTTGTTGCAAGTCACACTAATCTGTGGATGAACTACTCCACCTTCACATTAGGGTCTTTGAGGGGTATAATGAATGAATGCAGAGAATTTCAAGGTGACTTCTTAGCCAGCCATGTCCAGTAAAACTTTCTGCAAAGATGATGGACTATATCTTCTGTGCCTAGTATAGTAGCCACTTGTGGCTCTTGGGCACTTTAAAAGTGGATAGTGCCACTGATGAACCGAATTTTAAATTTTATTTAATTTTAATTCAAATTTAATTAGATTTATGTGGCCACTGGTGACTATATTGGACAATGCTGTTCAGGTCCTTTCTGTTCCTTTCACTGAAGACTTCAGGCATAATTTTACTACATATTCTTGGGTTTTCTGGGCTTTAATATTACCTAAGTCTTCTAGGTTCCCCTGGAGTAGTGTGATCATACAATTGTCCATACTGGGATACTTTGAGAAAGACAGGGTGTGTTAACAATGACCAATTATGATGAGACAAGAGGCATACTCTGGGATGGCCCAGGGCACAAAAGAAGGTTGGTCCCCTACTTATAGGGTTTGTTGCTTGAGGGTTCTGTTGAGAAGTAACCAAGTTTTACTTCACTTTTTTTTTTTTGGCCAGGGTGGGGGAGTGCCATTACAGATAAGATTTAAGTATCTTCTAGGGGTACACATTTTCATCAACCATGATTTGCTTTGCCATCACAAACATTTACCAAAATCTTTTATAACTCATTTCTGCTTTCCCAGTGATTCCCAAACATCAAGTAAAGCGATGTCTACTGATACTAAATGACCAACTAAAAATAGCAGTAAATAATCAGTCACGCTGATCTCTGAAATTAGACTAAGTATCTGAAGAGCTATATTGGGTTGGATATTTTATGTTTTCTTTTGGCTTTTTAGTAAGAGACAGAGAAAGCCAAAAAGACCAGAGGTATTTCTTTGCAAGAGAGTCACTCTGGGTTCCCTGACAGATTAAAATTCTCCCAAAGGGATCAAAACTAGGCAGGATGAGCACGCAGCAGTTTATTTAATCCAGAAGCTGGGTTTTGGAGGGAGTGGATCCTGGAAGTATAAAAGTAAGTTACTTTGGGTACGCTTTTAGCTTTTGCCATTGGGAGAGAAAGCATACTAAGATCAGTGTTTAAACTGAATATCTATTTAAAGAGTATTTAGAGGCCCAAATTCCTTCCTTGCCTCGGCCTGGTGGATGGCTGCCATGTGTATTCTCACCAGAGAAGGATGGGGTTTTAGTCTCTGGAGAGGTCTCTGAACTGCAGGCTACCAGGCACATACTCTAACCTTAAACCTAACTCTAACCTGAACCCTAGCCCTACCCATGACTCCTAAAAACTAATGCTAATCCTAACCCTAAACCTAACTCTAATTCGAACCCTAACCCTGCTCCTAACTCCTAACCCTAACCTTATGGGAGGTCTCAAACCTGCAGGATACCAGGCAACAGCCTCACCATGGCCTTAACTCTAAACCTAACCCAGATCTGGAAAAAAAAAAAAAAAAAAAAAAAAAAAAAAAAAAAAAAAAAAAAAAAAGGAAAAGAAGATGTGGTATATATATGCAATGGACTATTACTCAGCCATAAAAAGAATGAAATCTTGCCATTTGCCACGACGTGGACGGAGCAGAATATTATGCAAAGCAAAATGATATGTCAGTCAGAAAAAGACAAATACCATATGATTTCACTCATTTGTGGAATTTAAGAGACAAAACAAATGAGCAAAGGGAAAACAAAGAGAGGCAAACCAAGAAACAGACTCTTAACTATTGAGAACAAACTGATGGTTACCAGTAGGGAGAGGGTGGGCAGATTGGCTAAAGAGGCAATGGGGATTTAGGAGCGCACTTGGCTGTAATGAGCACCTGAGGTTGTATGGAAATGTTGAATCATTATACTGTACAGCTGAAACTAATACTGCACTGTATGTTGACTAACTGAAATTTAAATAAAAACTTAAAAAACAAAAGATCAGTGTTTGACATTATATTTCAGCAGGATAGGAGCAAGTCACTGCCCAGTACTTCACGTTTCCTCTTTTTTAGAACTCAACCTGTTTTGAAACAACCTAGTGGGATTTTTTCCTTGACACAAGATACAGAACATGGATTGGAGCATCAAGTCATAAAAATAATTTTAAAAATCCAACTGGATCTATACACTAAATGTCCTGAAAGCCACAAATTCTTCTGGTGAGCCAATTCTCATGGAATCTCTCTGGCATGGCCTGGCATTTCAAATCCTGCCGACCTTTTATATAACGCACTTTGTGTTGTGCACAGTAGAATTTTGTATTAAGAAAATATATTTCAGAATTTAATAGGCATGTGAATGAATAGGAACAGAGAAACTAATTATTTCAGGAGGTTTACCTGTAGGAAAAAGCACTTAGCAACATAGTCATTCACATAATCAGAGGTAGGTCTCTGACTCATTTTGTCAAAGGCTTTCCACCAACCTGATAGCTCGAATGACCGTTTTAAGCGGTGGGGTGAGGTCTTCTACTGATACGTCACACTGGCAGCCCTTTTCATCATATACATCATCAGTGCCAAGCGCTGTGTCAGCTGCAAGAGAAGATTACCAGTTAAATAATACCACCACCAGCAGTTTACAACATGTTTGCTGAATTTGTCTCACATAGGAATAGGGGGGAACTCACAGACTAAGCTTATAAACCGAGATATGTGTAAGGCCAGCCAATTGTTTTTCCCCATGTTATTCCTCCTCCTTTTCCTACAACCTCATTAATTTTATGTGATTTGAGATGAATACCTTTCTGAGCTGTTTTCCACGGGAAAGATGAAGCTGTTGACACACTGTCTTTCCAGTCGTGGTGATGGATTTGTGTTGATCCACCCATGCTCTTTTGCCCAGTTCTTTTGAAACTAACTGCCAGCATTCAAATAACAGCTGTTTGGAATTAGGGAAACAGTCTTTGGATACTTAACTAACTGGCCTGTAAATATAGAGCTTGAAGCCCATGTCATTGACCCCATTAGCCCCAGGCCCTGAACAAGTGTGTAAGCAGCTACTCCAAGAATACTGACTACTTATAGGTTACTGGAAACCGGCAGCTCAGAAGAGAGTTTGCTTAAGATAGTACAGCCAAAGCTGAGAGATTTTCAGATTGGACAATCAAATCAGTTCTTAATAAATCGAGAAAATTAATTTTTGGGTTAATTGCAAAATTTGGAAAAGGGGGAAGGGTTATAATAAATACCAAATTAATAAAGACTTATAAAATTCATAAGGAATAAGCTCATACCATTGAAGCTTTGTTTTCAGCAACAAGATATTGAATACAAGTTAACATTTCTGGAATGGGGGATGGGTTAAATAAATATTGGTATGTTTATACAATGGAATATTAGGAAGCTGTTAAAAATGATGTTTAAGACTAGGGACTGGGATAATGTCACAATTTATTATTTAAAAAAATCTATATATCTTAAAAAAATCTTTTTTAATGTTTATCTTTGAGAGAGAGAGAAAGAGAGAACAGGGGAGGGGCAGAGACAGAGGGAGACACAGAATCCAAAGGAAGCTCTAGGCTCCAAGCTGTAGGCATGGAGCCCGACAGGGGACTCAAACTCACGAACTGCGAGATCATGACCTGAGCCGAAGTCGGATGCTTAACCGACTAACTCACCCAGGTGCCTCTAAAAAAAAAATCTATATATCTGGGATTAAGAATGATTTTATTCTTTTTGCTTGGCTATATATATATATATATATATGTGTATATATATATATTTATATAATGTTTATTTATTTTGAGAGAGACAGAGTGCATGAGCATAAGTGGGGAAGGGGCAGAGAGAGAGAGAGAGAATCCAAAGCAGGCTTTGCACTGTCAGCATGGAGCCCAATGTGGGGCTCAAACTCACAAACCATGAGATCGTGACCTGAACCAAAATCAAGAGTCGGAAGCTTAACTGACTGAACCACCCAGGCACCCTACTTAGCTATAATTTTCTAAAATTTCTACAATGAACATGTATTACCTTGGTAGTAAAGTAAATAAAGTAATAAAAATACACTCATGAGAGATGAGTTATGTAGCCTCTAAATACTATTTCAGCCTCCTTAAATGTTAAGGTGCACTAAAGGATTAACACCGCTTTCTGCTGCCTTTGCTCTGCCCAGTGTTCATTTGCTAAGTCATGAAAAGAAGAGAATTTGCCGTGAGTTGTCTTGGTTGGGTTCAAAATCCTAAAAGGCTATTAGAAGTCCATTCACTGAAGCAGTGCTTATATTTGGACTGCAGCTGGTGCATCATTTAGACTATTTACTGTGTGGTTACTCAGTTTATTGTGTGCTGAGAGCAGAAGTAGTGGTATGGAAAGATATGTAAATGGGTCTTCATAACCCTTCTTCATGGTCCTTCTGGCCTTCCTGCCCTCAAGCCTAGTGAGAGGGTAAGACAGAGCTACCACTTCACGATAATGAAAATAATAGCAACCACTCATTGACATTTATGCCAGGCACTTAGGTGAAGCTTCTGCAACGATTAGTTTTCTCACTTATAGCAACTCTCCCAGTTGGTGGTGATATTATGCTTGGTTTTTAGAAGCCAAAACTGAGGCTTAGAGAAGGTAAGTATCTCACGTGAGGCCACAAAAGTGGTCAGTGGAGACAGTAAATTGCGGAGCATGTGGTTAAAATCCAGTTCCGGAGTCTGTGAAGCCTTTGCGCTTTACGTTGCATTACCCAGTGTCAGCATGGGTTCAGGGTTCCATAATGGGTTCAGGAGTGGCGTGCAACATGCCAGGAGAGAGCAGGGGAGAGAGATCATCGCAAGCCTCATTGGTGCAGCATATCCCTGGGGGGTATGTTCTCAACTTCTCTCCAGAAGAGTTTGCTACAGTTTATTTTTTAAATTATTATTATTTTTTTAATTTAATTTTTTATTCTTTAAAATTTACATCCAAATTAGTTAGCATATAGTGAAACAATGATTTCAGGAGTAGATTCCTTAATGCCCCTTACCCATTTAGCCCATCCCTATATTTAATTATTTTTGAGAGAGACAGCATGGGTGGGGGAGAGACCAAGAGAGGAGGTCAGAGGATGCAAAGTGGACTCTGAGCTGATAGTTACAAGCCCAATGCCGGGCTTAAACCCAGGAACCGTGAGATCGCGACCTGAGCGAAAGTCAGTCGCTCAACCGACTGAGCCCCCCAGGTGCCCCAGTTCATGACAGTTTAAATGAGAGTATTGACCCAGTCTGACACTTGGTTCTAACTCAGTGATGAGCTTGAGGGTAGCTGGCCCGTTTCCCTTGATTGACCACCTACACAACACAGCCCTTTCAGTGCACAACATGCCCAAGGTTAGATGACATTCTTGCAGGAACTGTTTGCAATTTCTTCCTCCGATTTGATCCTAACCTGTTTTTAGTTGGTGGAGTGGGCTGAATAGTATTGCCCTAAAGTTCATATGCACTTGGAACACTAGAATATGGCCTTATTTGGAATAAGGGTCTTTGCAGATGTAATTAAGGTAAGGTTGAAGATGAGGTCATACTGGGTTAGGGTGGGCCCTAAATCCAATGAAAATGTCCTTATAAGGTAGAAAAGGAGAAGATACAGGAACAAAGAAAAGATGGAAGTGGAGACTGGAATAGTGCATTTAGAAGTCAAGAACACCAAGAATTCTGGGCAACCACAAAACAGAGAGGCATGGGATGGTTTCTCCCTCAGAGTCTCCAGAAGGAACCAACCCTGGTGCTGCCCTGATTTCTTGAACCGTGAGAGAAGAAATTTCTGTTGTTTCAAGCCACCCAGTGTGTGGTAATTTGTTATGGCATCCCTAGGAAATTAACACAGTGGGGAAAACTTTTCTTCATGGTTTCTAAATCTTCACTCAAGGACAATAATAATGATGATAATAACTGTAATAAGCACTTTTTAGGGAAATCTAATTATGTGCCAAGAAATTTAATTAATTGCTTCAAATCCCACAAGAGGTATGGGTAGTAATGTTTTATTGTTATATTTAACATGATATTAAAATGAAATATAAGCATATATTTAATATAATATATGTCATATTATATTAAATAATGCCCTATTTTACAGACTATGAAAGCAAGGCACAGAAAGCTGAGAAGCTTTCCCATGGACAAATGAAGAGTAAGTGACAGAACCAGAATTTAAATGTGGGCAGTTGGGTTTTGGAGCTGCACTATTAATTAAATATTTCCTAACCCTGAGACTCACTTCTGACTCCTTCAAGATTTGTCTTTCTTGTTTCTTGTCATCTGGACTCCCTTCTCTTGCATTACATTTTCATCCACATGACTGTGTGCAGCTGGCTCTCATGGTCTCAGCTGAAGTGATCCCATAACACCGAGAGAGAACTGTATTCAGAGGAGTGTGATTTCCATGGCCAAGTGCCGAAGGAGACCTAGAAATAGGTCCCATGGAGGCTGGATGGTCCTTGGGTGCTATTGTGGAACACTTTGAGATGTCCAGATGTTAGCTCCCTTCAAGAAATATCAAATAATGCACTTAATCAGGATCCTCAGGACAGAATCCACAAAAGTATTTTACGCTGTCCTTCAAAAAAGGAATCTGTGACTGCTTTCCTCATCTGAACTCTAATGAGAGGTACTTCTAACATGGTCCCACTTCATATCTCAGAAATCTGGGGAACACTGGAGAGGCTACAAGGAAGGCAGATCCTGCGATGCCTGTGCCAATGGCTTATCTGCTTGAAAATTCCATGTAACCAGCCATAGCACAATGATGTATGTCCGAAACAATTAAATAGCATAAAATACTAGGTCCTTTAATTATGAGGTTAGTGGAAAACTTTATCAGCAGGTGTGTACTGTTACAATAGGCACAAAAGGTAAAGATAATGAAACTATAATGTTCTCACTGATTGTGAATGAAACTGGAAACATCCCAAATGATTACGAGACAGTTTCCATCCAGCTTAACTCTGCTTCACCTCGCCCCTGTCCTGTACCCCAATAAGAGCTTTAGTTTAGCCATACTGTTTACAGTTAGCTTTAGTTTTAGCCATACAGGCGGGGCAGAAGGTGGGAGTCAGTCACCAACTGCATCATATCCAAATGCACCTTACTGTGGAATGTTATACCACTAATAACTTGATTGTTCAAGGCATAAATTAAATTCTCAGTGTTTAAAGAGATATTTTTTGTAGGTTAGGTCAGAGCAAATGAATAGGAAATATATCTTTGCTGGCATGTACTGAAGCAAGGGCTGAGTTAGGAATTTTTTCTCCTTATTTCAAAGCCACAAAAATGGGGAAAATGCAGTCTTTCTCCTTCATAACTATCTTGAGATGTCCATTTTCTTTCCCGTGAGGTTAATAGCACATGTCTTTCACATGATTCCTAGAGGCTTAAGACGTTTAGTGAATTTTAAGGCGCCTAGATGGGGCTACATTTTCAGCCAAGCCTGGCTATCTGCTCTCCAATCATATCTGGCTCTCTTCCCTTGCATTCTGGGAGATGTGGGTTATGGGTACATAAGCTCATGTGAGCATCAGTCTGCACAACACCTAATCACAGAAAGCAAGATGCCAATAGAGT